AGTCTAGACATGTCATAGAGCATGAATTTGCTTAGTCGTAGCCACCTGGGGTCATCCACCTGGAGAGTTTCGAGGCCCTGGACTGGACTACCGGTACCGGTACCGACGCGTGTGTGGAGAACACACACGCGTGGATTCTTTGGTCCGATCATTCTCCGAGGTCATGGAGGGCCAGGTGGCCGTACGCATCAAGGTGACCATGCGCATGATGGGGAAACCCTCGTCGTCTTTCTTTTTTTTGGTCCGGGCAGGGGTGAAGGATGGTGGGAAAGGCCGGGAACGCCGTAAGCTCGGATGTTTCGCTCTGAAACCTAGTTTTGTGGTCATTGTTCGAGCTGGAGTGAGAACCCTTCGGTATCTTCAGTACATCTATTGTATAGGGAACTGAAGGACCCTGATGAATTGACTACTGCCTCGAAAAGAAGAGGCGCACCAGGAGAGAGACCAAAGTTTCTTGCTTATATATGTATATATAAGGGAATCAGGGCAGGTCACTGACCCAGGATGACACAGACACTACTTACACCATTTTGCGCAACCCCTGAGCAACCATGAGCCAGATATAGCCAGATGATATATATATATAGATTTACAAATGATATATATGTAGGCATATGTATACACACACTTGTTGCCTCTTGGGCGTAGCACTCAAGATTGCATTACATGCACCTGTGAACAGCCTCTTGGGGGTTGTGCCCTTTGCTCTGAGATCTTTGCAGTTTGGCAATTGACGCCATTTTTGTTTCTCTTGACGCATGCATGACGCATGGGGTGATCGTCAATTTCAACTGTTTGACACACCTGTTCTTCTTTCACTTATATACCGACTTCCCTACACAAGGGAGAGAGAGAGAGAGAGAGTGAAGACTTCTGGCACCCTTGTGGGGAACCTTTTCTTCATCCGCGGAGGCATGTTGAAGCTCTCTGAAGACACCACTTCCGACCTCCCTTTATGTAAGCTAGCAAAGAAAAAGAAGAAGAACACGACAAAGACAATACATATATATATATATTATAACTATATATATACTATATATATAATATTATATATATATTCTTTTGTGGGGGTGGGGAGGCACCCTGCCAACCCCGCGTCACAGACCTATCCAGATTTGAACAGTACCCCCTGGACATCTACGTGTACACACACACACACCCTAAGACAGTGGACCCATCTTCTGATCTCCATCGAATCACCCACCGGGCGAAGAAAACCATCTTAAGGCGCTCGCGAAGATCCCCTATGGCGAAGACTTGCTGGTCTGGGATCTTACGACGAACTCCTCGCACCTGGCGCGGGGAGAAGTTTATCAGGGTCCTCTCAGTGCCCTCCAAGGCCCTTTCTTCCAAGGAAAGCATGCAAACACTCCATCTGCAGAATCTTCAAAAGAATGCCATGAGAAAGAATGCCAATTGGTGATCCCTTTGGGCGGGTTTTTCACATGTTTTCACTCCGGCCTTGGCCCGCGATCCTTGGTGTTGATGTTCAGACACTCACGGGCTTTGGCTTCCCTGTTGGAAGATCTGCAGGTCAGATGTGGGCCTTTGGAACTCATGGGTGTTGTTTTTGTTCCAAGAATTGACCGGCGGCAGTAGTAATTGCGTACATCATATTACATCCTTGGCTTAGGCCGGTGAATCCATACAAGTTTCCGGTGGAGGACCCTCATTCAATGTCAGAGATATTTGCCATACCCTCAGCTATTGAGGGACCCAACACTGTTAGGTATACTGTAGATAATTGAACACGACCAATCTCCATCAATCTCCTTGTCAGGATGGTGGCTTCCCTGTTTTCCTCCAGCTGCATGCACGAACCCTCCTGGACCCTTGTGGGCTCAGGTGTGCGGCTCGGTTCCCCAGTTGGGCAGTTGGAAATTGTGCGACGCAGCCCAGATGCACTGCGAGGCCATCGGTGGCAGGGTGGAGAAGAGCAGGAGAGAGGAGCCAGATGGATCATGATGCCAGATTGGACAATGAGATGTAAGAAGCACCTTTTGACTCAGACTCAGATCCTGGAATTGGAGATTTGGCTCAGGCTCGCATTAAGATTCACCAGTCGTGTTGTGTCGTGATGCCGAGTTGCGTAGTTTGGTGAAAGCGTTTGTTCAGAGTGCAGCTTGAGGTAAGAGGAGATTCATTTTAGGAATAGATACATTGCCATTGCATCATGAATCGGCACAAATAGTGGATCCTCCTCAAATCCCTAATGACAGTGCTTTTGCCTAGGGTCAGGACAGCTCTCAGTGGAAACCCAAAAGACATACAGAAGTTCAACCATGTTCAACCCAGCGTGAATCTGTATGGGCCATTTCAAACCAGACCTCATGAACAGGATCACAGCTTACAGACCCTTGCTACATCGCCTTTATTTCAGCTTCGCACATTGTCTCTTTCTCATCGCCCGAAAAGTCATAGAGAATTGTGGAGGGAATCCAGCAGAACGACTACTCCTCCAGGATCCACCCGCTCATCAGGTGGAAGAACTTTTTCTGGACGGTTGATCCAGTGCCCCTCCCATCATCACCTTCGGACGGTCTAGCTCGGAGATATCGAGGGCCACCCGTTTTGCTACGTTCCCAGGGCCAAGTGTGGTACCTGGCCACGCGCTTGCCCTGTGGCGTGCGGGTCGGGGTGCCAGGGCGCAGGGCTGCGCAGCGGAGTGATGTGCACCCCCCTTGGATGATTGGAAAAAGGGTCCTTTCATACTTGATGTGTAAGACGTGGTCAATCACGATTCATTCCCTGGAAGGCCATCTCCCACTACCTGTAAGAGATAGTTTCGGGACAGTCTGCTTGCCCAGCTAAGTGGAGAAGGGTGTGTGCGTGTGTGTGTGTGTTATGGTTCTTTTCGTCGACAGCAAGCATTGGCGATCTGGGCCTCAAGTTGCACCGCGGTCACACAGCGCGGCACGATGATGAGCTGCTGGATATACCGTTGGGTCAAACTGGTGGTGTTGGCAATTGGCAATTTGGTCGCCGAAAAGGAGTGTGACCAGGCATTCACTCATGCAGATTGGACAGGTCACGCAGAGGAAGTGCAAGAGAGATCACCCTCAATCCCCCCAATTCGGAGGCAGAGGGAGGATGGAATTGCATGCAGCGGCCAAAAGTGGTCACACATAAAGCTCCAGCGTGGCCACCTATTTGATCCTATGATAGGATCACATAGGTGGCCACGCTGGAGCCTTCGAGGGACTGCAAGCGTATTGCAGCGTGTTGTAGTACTTTGCGGCAGCGAATGGCCACCTCGAAAACTGTGACCAACGTATTGCTTGACGTTGAACATGTTAAAGCTGCATAAAGCTGCAAGAGCAGGTGAGAATTGCCAATCTGCTTGGAATGATTATGGTGAAGTGGTGCAATTGTTGCCGGAGGCCGGAGCGGTATCAGGTCACGGGTGACTGGGCATGCTGCTTCGCCACTTTGCAGCAATGAATGCTCATGTGGAGGCGGTGCGTGTGTTGCTGGAGGTGAGGGCGCCAGGAGCAGGTCAGTACATGAAACTGCTGCTGCATTTGGCAGGTCTGTACACGGAGAGACTCCAGCGGTGCGACGAAGTTGCGGTGCGAAGTTCTGCCAGAGAGGGTGAGATCACAGCCGTGCGGCATGGCCGCTAGAATTTGTGCAGTCACATTGGGCGGCATGGCCCACTTGGCGCTGGAGCCAGACTCAGACCTGGATGGACGGCTGAACTTCGGTGGCCGGGTCACCTGGACGTGTTGGACTTTGTTTGCTGGCGCCTTTGGCGATCTGGAAAGGACAGAAGACGAAAACAGCTCCTTTGCGTGGTGGCACCTGGTTGACCGGATCATGGCCACAAGTACCGGCCTCAACTCCTGTGCCCATTGGCAACTCTGAATGGATTTGCAGGTCTTTGTCCTGGTGAAGACGGCGAGAGATGAGCATACTTGAGCATGTGGACACCCTTCGCTCCTGCTGTACCTGCTTCGGCCATTCATTCTCAGGGCCGAACATCGGCCAAAAGGACCGGCAGAGGAGGTCAGAGGATGCTATGATATGTTTTACTTCTCTATCTCTAACGCACAATGAACACATTGAGGCTCAACAGATCCGATGCCATGTACATCCACTTCAATTGAAAGCATTGACTTGACCGTAGCAGATATGGTTGCTGAACTCAAGCTGGACTGGTGTTTGACTAGCGCTGAGTATGCGGAAGTCGGGATCATATTTCATGTTCCTTCCACTCTTCCACCCACCAAACGGACGACCACGATCCCGAGTGTCGTCGGTGAGAAGTCAATATTCAACCTGGGCGCCCGTTCCTACCTACCTGGGCAGCTAAGGATGGCTAAGGGTCTTTGGCACGGAGTCTTCACGTATAAAAAGGGGCGCAACATTTGGTCCAACATTTCACACGCAGCTCGCCAAGCTCTGAGGTCTGAAAGTGTTTGAAAGTCAAAATTTCAAGTGGTTCCATGGACCCACATCCCCATCATCTCCTCCCTGGAGCGCCCTGTGGGGAGCAGCAAGTTTGACACATTCGGAGGTCAGCAAAATTCATCAGGGTTAGGCTAGGCCCAGGCCTTAGATAGCCTTAGGCTAGTTGGATTCGGCATCCGTGACAGATGGTTGGCCCTGGAAGAACCATTCTGAACGAACCATTCTTTATCATGGCAGAGTCTGCAGATGCCAAGGGTCACATGAAGTTGCTGAAAAAGTCGTGACTTCTTCCCCTCCGTATATTTGGGCAGGATGGGTCAAAACTTGGAGCCCCAACACCATGGAGCTTGAACCTCTCAGGTAGATCAACCAAAGCATCCTGAATCATGGTTAGACCCGTGGCCATATGGCGCACATCGTCCTCGCGAGTCTTGCAATCCGCAACGCGCAGACGACACGAATTGCAAACCCATGCACGCTCCAACGGAAACACATACTCTCCAAGTTGCATGCATTGTTCCAAAGAACGGTTTTGGCAGATGTTGGCAGGGAAATCCCCAAACGATTACCATGTGTTCTTTAAAGTGGTTCCCAACCACGGGTAGTGCCCATCTTCGGGCCCAAGACCGGCTGAAAAACCGATGGCGAAGAGCTCCTCGTCGGCCTGGCCGGACCTCTCCGCCAGCACGGTGCCTCAGCTCTCTGCCCACGTGCACCGCCTATCGCCGCCGCAGCGGGCGGCCGTGAGCGCCCAGACCGTGCACTTCCGAGCGCTTCGGGCAGAGGAGATGGTGCCCGCACCGTCGAAAGACGTGGTGTTCATTTATGTTTGGAATCATTTACATTTAAGTCTAATAACCGATGTTATATCAATCATCCAGGGTGAGAAATATAGATACAAATGGTTGGGTATATGATGTTAAAGTACGATTGGCTGTTCAAAAATGCGGATTCACTTATTCTTTTGCCTCACAGATCCCGCAGATTTGTGAAACATCTCCCTGTGGTTGGGTTGCTTGTCACCGTGTCCGATGAGACTCGATGCACATTCCGACCACACAGTCGGTCACAGAAGTTGGTACATTTTTTGGGGTGCGCATTTTGTGTTAATTAAAACATGGAATTTGATTTGGTTGGGTGATCGTCATTGTGAGCAGTAGGGATTATTGTGGGGATTGTTGGCGGGCTATCCACTGGATTTGCAAGGGGAGGGGCTGTGCTCATTCATGTCCAGCAAGCCCCAGGATATCGAAGAGATGATGGCCTTGCATGAAGAGTGGTTCCCACTTTCTTACGACCAGGATTTCTACGAGAAATCTGTGGGCGGAGAGTTCTTTTCCTTGGTGGCCACCTGGAAAACAGACCAAAAAAGATCCGAGGAGAACATCTTGGGCATGATCACCATCAGTACTGGCTGCGAACATCATTGGGATGCAATCGGACATGTCTTAGGTGTCGAGTGCGAGACCGCATGCCAGAGCGCGGAGGAGACTAAAGTGACTAAAAAGAGCTGTAGAGACCGAACATGTTGTTTCCAAGTACCTCAGTTTCGAGGCACCCAAGAGGTCTAGGTGGAGCTTAAGGGTTTCTCATACTGAAGTCAATACCAGCATTCTGCATGTGAGTGGATGGTTGCTATACTTTGAAACCCTTTGTAACATGTTTTCAGATGTTGCTGTATATTAGTAGCCTTTGCTTAGGACTGTTCATCCCACTGGCAATGACATATATTCTCTTGATGTGAGTTATTGAACACCAACCAACTATCAAACTTGGTGGCACTTTCTGAGTCCAGCACCACCTGGGGCGTGAAACGCAAGCGTGAAACGCTGCTAGGAGCTTTCCCCCCGTGCTTCGTGTCCGCCTACGAAGCACGGAGTGTTGGCTTACATCCTCACCCTGGGCGTGGCTGAGCACTTCCGGCGCCGGGGACTGGCGCAGGAGCTGTTGCGGCGCTCCGTGGAGCATGTGCAGGCCGGGTGAACCGGTCGAACCGTTGGGGGGAGCAAGAATGATGCGGATGTTCAGGCTGGATCACCCGGAACATCCTCCAAAATCCCTCAGATTCAACTTGTTCAAGAAGATGTAGTAGGTAGTGTAGTAGGTACATAATTAGCAACTCGACCTTTTGGGGTGTTACCTCCCGAGCTTGGAGTGGGCTGGGTGAATCATCTCCAGCGTGGCGTCGTCCACTCCGTCCACGTGACCGTTTTCCACGGCAAAACCTGGGATTATCTTCGACCCGATGCGGGCAACATGGGCATCAAATCATCAAACTGGTAAGGTCTATCAGAGTCTATCACGTATAACTACTTATATGTATATATCAATTATGAAGTGGAAACTACCTGGTTGTATATAGAGGAAAACGGTCATCTGTTTGGGGCCATGCCATGCCATCCACTTCCATGATGATGCCGGCAACTGTAAATGTCGTAATTCCCCGGCAGGTGACAGTCTCTTGACTGATCCTGAGATTTTGATGAAGTATTTCGTCATGTGTCCCACTGACGGGGAGGCATCATAACAAGCAACATCATGGTGCACCCCTGGACCCTTATTATGAAGCCGATTTCGGTCAGCCGTATTCGTTTTTGTCCGGTCCAGGAGCAGCTCCTGGAGGTCCAGGCGATCTTTCTCCATGTGGCAACCTACAACAAAGCAGCAGTTCAACTCTATGAGTCGTTGAACTTCTTTCGGCTGGAGCATTTTCCGGCCTTCTACCAGATCCATGGGTGGCTTGTTTCCATTGGTTTGCGAAGCTCGAGTGGATACAACTTTGGGGGAATATAGGTCATAGGAACACATGCCCTCACGTGTTTTTACATGATCAATTCTTGCAAACCGCTGTCCGTTTGGTGCTTTTTTTGGATTTCGGGAGTCCACAGTTGGGAAAGCGCCCACTTCGGTCGAAACAGCCGAGCCCATGCGACTGACACGTGGCCTTTGCCGTGTTGCGCCTTTGAGCCCCCGCAGTGCAGGCTGATTCGAAGCAAACCGGGAAAGATAGAAAAAACATTAAGAAACATTGGTGTCAATTCTATCAGATTCTATCATTTATCCCCATCACCGAGGAAGTACTATGACTCCTACCTTTATGTCCTCTATTTGCATGAGAAGCCGCCCTGGAGAGTCCGACTTCGCCGTTGGGTGGACTCGTGGAGCCGCGGAACGCCGCCTGGCCACCGTGGAGCCGTTGAAACCGGGTTCACCGTCCCTGGGCGATCACACTCAGATGGCATTGGCAGCCCGTTTCCATCAGTTTGTTCTATGTGGATGCCATCTGAGTGTGATCCCCTAGACAAAAACACCTAAGAGGACTCAATCAACTTTGCTGCCTGGAAACAAAACGTCATGGAATCGTCATGAACCATTGAACCATGCATTCTTGAAATTTCAGAGCATTTTTCCTATGGAAGAGAGTCATGTTCCATTTCCTTCTGGGGGTGGCAGGATGAGCCTATAGCAAAGAACGAGAAGAGCCAGCAGATGGATATGGTTTCACAATAGTGTGTCTCGGGTAGTGGTTTCTTGTGGGTCCGGCGATGCAGTAGAACTTGTTCATCAAGACTCCAAGGCATTGGAGGAGCCCGTGCCCCAGCTGTGCATTTCCAGCCATCGAGGAGCAGGATGGTGAATCGCCGACCTAAGCAGGATGGCCTTCGACCTTTAGGGCTTGGCTTGTGATGCCACCTTCAGAAGGCAAAGCGGTAGACTTCAGAAGGCAAAGCTTGAAACCGCTGAGAAGGGCAAGAACATCCATGCCTGACCTTGGAACAGCCGGGGCTTCGTGTGAATCATAGTATGATCGATATATACTATACGGCCTTCACTGCGCTGTTAGCGCATTGTTGCGCAGGCCGGGAGCACCAGACGCTCTCTCCAGGAATCAGTGGCAGCTCACGTTAGTTGGCATGGACGAGCCCTTGAAGGAGTCCGGAAGCCACATGGATCCACCTTTTGAACGGCAGAGAGAAGTTTTCAGCGATGGTGAAACGACTCGTGGACCATGGGACCATATGGGGACGATGGGAGGGGCCTCCCTTTGTTGAAACAAGTCGGACTGTGAATGTAGCAAAGGCTCGTGGATCATGAAAGAGGCTCGCGTGATCACATGCTTGTTTTCTCCCAAGAATCGCTTCTTGTCCTCCATTTGTGACGCTGTGTTTGCAATTCAACGGGCAACAAACCCCTTGTGGCCTTGTGGCTTCAAATCCAAATCAGAAGTGCATCAGAGTTTGCCACAACTGTTGCCATCCTGGCTTTGTGTGATGAAGCGATGCTGACTTCATGGCTTGTGCAAGCTGAGCTCACAGCTTGCTCACCAAGCCGAAGGTCGCAGCGACCACGCCGAACAAGCGCAGAAAACGGATCGGTGCACCGATCAGTGCGAGCCTTCCGATCGGTGCGGGTCCAGGGTACACCGAGTGTCCCGCATCGACTGTGCAGAGCCTTTGAGTGAATTCTTGGCTTTTGAGGTGCCATCAGAAACCTGCCCTCAAGTCACTGGTGGTTGGTCTTTGGAACATTTTGGAATGATGACGGGTCAATTTTCAGCTTTCGACCTGCCCAAGCCGGCGTGTTTGATGCAATTTTGGCTGGGCTTTCCTGCAAGTGCCCCGCCCTAGGCAGCTTTGTAGTGCTCAGCTGAATGGTCTGTTAGCCAACCAGGTCTCCCCGCCTGGAATCACATCCGCCGCGGTGAAGGAACATGCATATATATATATGTATATATCTATACCCCTAGGCCTCCAAGACCATTAAAAAAAGGGCTGACCTGGTTTTTGTAGTGTAAAATCCTTAGTTGATTCGGTAAAGCCTATTAGATTGATGGTTGTTGGAAGCCTAGGGTATATATTCCATCCACTTGCTGTTTCATCCATTGAGACAGACGATTCAAACCACGAAGACACCGTTGATGGGTCGTTGAACTAGCTGAGGGAGTTGCTCCCTCCTACCCGGTCCCCCTCACCCAATCAGCTGTCAAACTTTAGTCCTCGACCATATCTCCCAACATGGCATACGGAACTCCCACCCTTTCAGAACTCAAGGGCTATGCTTCACTAGCTCAGGGAGGCGATTGCTTTGCACACTTTGGACCCCAGGTTCTTTCTTTGCCAGGTGCAGTGTTGCCCTTTAAGGTTCTATAAGATCTGTTGACAACTTGTACCATCCATCCATGGCTTCTTCCCATGTGTACATTTGCTTTTTTTTTTCCCAAGCCCCTACCGCATGGGCTCAAAGTTTGGTCACTCTCTTGATCTATCCATTAAGAACAGTTGAACAACCATTCACATACCAACAGCACGATCCTTCAGCTCCGCAGCGCACCAGGTGGAGTTGAAGTTGGTACAACGCCCCCAGGGGGGACAGGTCCATTGGCATGGTGGAGGGCCCTTTGGCTGCCTCTTTAGGAGGACTCACACGTCGACATGTTGATCCGCAGGCTTGACCCATTCGCAAGACTCAGCCCGTGAAGATCCGTGACTTGAATGAGTGCATCCATCCATGTCATCACTGGAGACCAGAAGGGAAGGTAGGTCATCAAGTGGACCTTCAAGTTGTTGATCCATCCTGAACAGACTGACATGTCATGACATGGAACTGGCGACTAGGCCCGGCGGCTAAGACTTGGAAGTTCATCGGGCCACTCCTACGTGCTCCTCTTTAGTCTTTCAGGACTCTTCCCTATAGTGGTGGTTTATAGTTATAAAGGATTGGCCCCCAAAAAATCTTCGGAGATTGAAGCCAGAGTAGCTCAGGCCCGGTGGCAGTGCCAATCTGGTTTTGGAGACTAGCATAGGCGCCGAGGGACCTGCGGCTGGAATGTTCTGCCGAGGGACTGGTGGCTGGAGATCATGGCCACCTTTTGATTGATATTAGCAGGAAAAGTCACAGCAACAAATCATTCGGGAATGCTGCACTTGGATTGCGGACATGATGCCGACCTTTGGCATTTAATGGTGCTCCACAGGCCAAAGGAAACGAGAATGTTGTGCTTTTTGATGCCATTCTGAACCATCAATCAAGGCACTTCAATGACATAGCAGCGTTCACAAGGTCACTAGTGATATCGACAGGTGAAGTTCAGTCTTTGATGCAAGTCCCCAGAACTTGGGAGATTCTTCCATCCAATATTGGTGTGTACCATCAGGTCAACAACTCTCGACACTGCTCACACCAAGCCACCAAAATGAACCCTGGGCCCTCATTCCAGAGACTTTTGCTGCATCAGGCTTCCCCGCAGACTTCCTCCATGGCCTGGACATACCCGGATGCCACTGTTTACTTGTTGTGGGTGATGCTTGGTCTAGCCTCATGTCACCAGGTCTAGCCTTCATGGAGCTCAGTTCGCATGGAGATTCAGATCAGCTCAGTTCGATTGGAAGACACTCCTTGGAATGATCATGGTTACGTAGAGTTCACCACATGCTCGTAGAGGATTTCATGGTCCTTCAAGGGGCCTTGGATTCTTGGATCATCCACGTAACCATGGTGATTCCAGCGAGTGTAGATGGTTTCTGTGCAAGCTTTGATCCTTAACAACGGCATGCCCCAGGCAGTGCATTCTCCTTGCCATACGGGACAACCATGTGTGACTCAGCGCGCCTCTCCGATCCGCTCCGCCTGACGACGGCACCCACTGTCCTTCATGATCAACTCAAGCTTGTCAACCCGTCATATCGCTTTTTAAGTGTTGCACGATGCTGCACGTGTTTGTTCAGGGCCCTTGGTCAACCGTCTCTAAAAGCGTCTATAAACCATTCTATACAGATAAAACCCTGCGTCTTTTCTTCTTACAATCGGAAAAGCATGATAAAACCATATGTTTCTTTCTGATTTCCATGGCAACATCCTCCACATGCACGTCACTTTCTCCGGCCTTCTCGTAATGTCCTTCGAGGCCGCATTGGTGCACAGGGCTCTCGCTTCTTGAGCCTCGACGGTGCGGTAACCGAGGAACGCGGGTGTTTCGATCCGTTTCGATATCAAGTTCCAGGAAAAATTCGATATTCAAGATTCATTCGGTGTTGGATTTTGGATGAGGTGGTATCAAACAAGGACCGTGTCCAAAGGGGTACAATGATGGTGAATGGGGATGGATTCTTGTCCGGTGTTTCATTTCATCGTCATCCTTTCACTCCATGAGTCGATGCAGCGTCGCAGCGGCCTGGGCTCAAATGAGTTGTCACTCCAGGGGCGCGCCGTCACGGCCAGGAGAAGGGACCCGACTCGCGTGGACGACGGAGCAAGACCCCGGCAGCCGCCCTACGGAGGATTTTTAAACATGTTTTGACCGATGTTGACCTGTAAAGTCTTGTGTTTTACACAAGGCTTGATCTGGCATAGCCCGTTATAATATTGCTATTTGTGGTTGGAATCGCAGGGTTGACTGGTTTCATCCCTCGTTGGTGTGACCACTTTTTGTTGGGCTAATTTTTGCGCACCTCCATGCCACATTGGATCCATACACGGCACCTGCGCAGATGATCTACAGATGATCTCCTGTCAAAGACGGGATCATGTTTCCTTCTAGACGCTGGAGAGCTTTCAGCCAGCCTGGCTGGTTTAAACCTTGAAGGCTGTCAAACAGTGGAGAAACGGCAGGAAGGTGGCTTGATGTGTTGAACTCGTTTGTATATGACCGCCGGCATTGACTTCCCTCCCACTGCCATCATCGACAAGGACTGAGCCGGCTGAGCACCCACAGTGGTGGAGAGAGTCATGGGAGCCGTGGCTGAGCCGCAGGTGGCGGGTGGCTGCGTGGCACACGGCCACCGTTTTCAGTGGGAAAGACATATATATATATATATATATGGATCATTTGAAAACAGGGTTCTTGGTGGGGTAGCTGGGTCAACTGAATCAAAAGGGTTTGTCTCGTGCCGGCGATGGCAATCAGTGAATGTTGAAGATTTCTCCAAAAGCAGGGCTGTCATATATGACATTCTTCCGTTCCTGCTTCAATCTGGCGGTTGTAATAAACCCGACTGCCCCAAACCACTTTTGAATTTGAGAGGTTTTGCTTGGGTTCTTGGACGGCGGCTCCCAAATGCAATGGTTGTGGTGGTTCCGGTGCCTATGCCCATCTCCCGATGACCTTTGGCTTTTGCACCCCAAAGCACCAGCTGAGGCACCCTACATCCCAGCCGGGCGTCGCAAAGCACGATCAGCCAGCCACGCCCTGGCCCTCCTGGAGGCGAACGTGGTTCCTTTTGGGGGGTCTGTTCGAAAGCTGCAAGCTATTGGTTGGTTGCATTCAAGATGCGAAGGGTTAAGGCTCCAATCGGGTGAATCCGCTGAATCCGGCTTCAGCATGCGACGATGTCTCACCTTTCATGGGCTTATAAGTAAGAATGATGTGAGGGTCCAGTGGTTGATCGGACCCTCCATGAGCGGCTGATAAACAGACCCCGGGTGCTAATGAAGAGAATCGAGAGCAGAGAATTTGCCCGGTGCCAATTGTTGAGGGTTATGGCATGTAGTAGACGGAAGAAGTGAGCCAGGTAAGAACAAGTGAACGCAGTGACACCCAATATGGCTGCGGGTCAAAACCGAGGTACGTGGGTTGACCACCAAAAATGAACAGAATGGACTTCCTGGGAGGTCAACCTACCTTTGTTTGGGGCTCCGTTTTTGGACCCACAGCCATATAAGTATAATATGAGTTATGAAACATATCATATCAATGTATATATACTGTAACTGTATTACTAATACTTGGATGTACTTGTTCAAATCACGGTGGCAAGAAGCTCCAACCCAAGAGTCAGCTTTGGCCATCAGATACTTCAACTCTTAGTTGATGATGGTCTTGGGGTGATGAAAGCCGGCGATGAGAGAACAGAAACATCCGGAAGCCCAAGTGGACCAAAAATACTGGCTGGAAGGAAAACACAAGTCCGCATGAATGAAAAGCTAAGTTATCTATCCCTAGACATCCCTAGACCATCCTGTTTGGGTGTCCAATGGGCTAATCTACACTACTTGGCGGTTGCCATTGGACACCCAAACAAACAGGATGGTCCTGGTCCAACTTCGATGATGTTTTTCATCTATAGGCACCTTCAGGTAATCCCGCAGTGCTGGCAACAGTTTTGGGGACATGAATTTTGGCAGCATCTTGTAAGCGCACTGCTTCTACCTTTGGCTCACTCCCTCGAAAACACTGTTACTGCCCCCCAATTAATCGTCAACGTCACCTGTATGGCAGCCCGGCAGTCAGTGCCTGTTCTTGCCGGCGGGTGTGTCTACCTATCAGACTGTGACAATGGCAAACAATGAAGAACGCCTTGCTACAATATCCCTTGGTGTTCCCAACTAGCCACAACATGAACATGTGTACTCCCACTGGCCTCCTTACTTCAGGATGACCACAACTTACTCCCGAGGTACGCTCAGGGGGTTGACCGTGTCCCCGTCCTCACCAGGATTGCCAAGCCTTGAGCCAGCGGCCCCTCGAGCCGCGCCACGACTCACGGCTGAGGTGGAAGCATGTGGAAGCATGCGGGTTCGCATGGAAAAAGGCTGATCCACAGGAAACCTAAGCCTCAGCTACATTGTCATCCGATCCGGTGTCATTTGTGGATTTATTTGGCTCTTTATTTGGGGTGGGATCCCTACAAGCGATTTGTTTGACGGCCGTGTATCCTCGCGACTTCGGTGGCTGTCCCGACTTAGAGTTAGTGCACAGCTCCTTACCTCCAAAAAAGGGTGCCAAAAAAGCCGCAGATTGGTGTCCTCTCAGTCCATTTGTTGTGCCCAAGCGTGAAACACCCCGGACCAAACCCTCCGGTGTCGAAATGCTCGTTGCTCGATCGGTGCAGATCCTCAGCAAGCTGAACCGAGCGACCCCGAAGTCCTCGGCCAGCGCCAAGCTCGTGGCGGCGATGGGCGCTTCCTCAGGCCGAAAGACGACATGGGGTTTTGACCAAGTGAGATGTGGAAAACACGATAAAAAAGCGCGATAAAACGGAGGTCAAGGGGTCTTCATTGGCTTTAACATGCTAACTGTAACCATGCTATACCATACCTTGGGTCTGTACCATTGCCTGTAACAGTCGGTAGAACGGTAGAAGATTCTCACTGTGTATATATATATAATATATATATTTATTTATTTAAGAGAAAGGCATTATAAGACATTTACTTGCATGGTAATGGGACAGACCCATGGGCCAGGTGCTTGGTGAAGCATGTTTGTTCTTCGGTCTTCCAAGCTTCCCCGGCGATCCTGTGAGGGCGCCGCGGCTCAGAGACCTCTCAGCGCGTGGTCTCCCTGCCACCGTTGCTGCCGCGCGCGCAGGCCGCGCGGCAGGCGTCGCAGGCCGTAAACGCGCCAAAAGATCCGCGGAGATTGGGATGAAACGCAACAATGTACAGAGGCAAAGATCGATGGGAATCTTGGAGGATGATGGACATGATTTTGACCGTATAAAACGATATGTAATTTAATTGTTGTGCTTTTGTGCATAGAGGATCTATTCGTGGTGGGTCGTCGGGTCGTAGACTGTTTGGCTTGATGGAATGGGACACCCGACCTCGATGTCAAGGTTTCAGAAAAGCTAAAGGAGAATTAGGAGGTTTTTGAGAGCTCAAAATGGCGGCGGGTTCTGGGGTTTGAATCTCGCAGATGGAGCTCACCACAGTGAACGTTAAGCATCCAAGAATTGAGACGTTCTTTATATTATGTCTTTCTTATTCATGTTGAATTCTTTTGGGTGTACTAAGATGCTCGATTCAGCTTAGATTGCTGCACTTCTGGGAGGAAATGCCATAGAACCAAAGCGCCATGCCGCCCAGGCCGTGGTGCCAAGGCAGCCTCCACCCCACCCCGCCGGTCCTTCAAGAGAGCTTGCACCCGGGCAGAGCAGCCGGAAGGAAGGAAGTGAGCCACTGGAAGGCCGAGCAAGGAGTGGCATCCTTAGACTGCGCGGTTCATGGGAGGGTTTGCCATTGGGACCGCTGTGGTTTAACATGTTTTTCATAAATTCGTGGCTAAAGTTAAGGAGGAAGATGGAGATTCTGCCAAGCCTTCATGAATTCATCGCTGGCTCTCCTCAGGCGCTGTTCCACCCGCACGGAGCGCACCTCGCGCGCCTCGCGCGCCGGGTAGCCGGAGCGCGGCCGCGCGGCGCAACGATGCTCCAGTGGTCGGGCTCGACTGGTCGTCAGCCAAGGCGCTGGATTGGGTACGATTTCAAAAGACACCCCAAGTGATTTTTGATGTCTAAGTGTTTAAAGTTTTCATCATAACCGCAGTTTCCTATAGTATAAATCCGCCCATCGCCATTTGGTTTCAATCGCCCCCACTGCCGGGTCTACCCGAGCCGGTGAGGCTTGGCATGCGACCGAGCATTTGTTGCAGCGCTTGGTGGGGGGCGCCTCCCCACAGCCGCCACAAGCTTGTCCGCACTGCCGGAGAAAGTTCCTGAGTCGAGGAGATTCAGCCGCGAGCAGCCGCGAGCGGGGGATCAAAGGGAAAGAGTGGGAAAGACGGTGTCGTTTCAGAGAGGGTTTGTCACAAGTATCAGACATATTTAGGACCCGAAAATATCGTATGAAATTGTTCTTTTGGCTTAGTGGAATCTACCAAGCAAGGTATTTGGGCTCTATGATGCTCTAAGTCTTTTGCGTTCTTTTGGCTCGTGGGATTCTGCGCCCTCCGCTGTTTCAGCGGTTTTAAATCCACAGTAGCTATCCTGAACACCAAGTCTGCTACTGCATCCTGCGCCTCCAGACTAGTAGACTCCTAAAGTCCTGGAGGATGGGACATGGATGGGTGGCTAGTGGAACGAGCCATCACTTCCAGGACAGAGTTCCTTTTTGGAGATGATCACCGTGTTCAATTGCCCAAGTTGGTGTTGCTGAAGGTGATTCTCTTGGTATGTTCCTTATTACAGTGGGATTTCATGCCCTTCGGAACGGTTCCTTAAGCCAACCACAGTCGTGTTCGATGGTCATGATCGACTCAGGTTCCAACCACAGTCTCTGACACGACACGCCAACGTGTGCGTTCACGTCTTCCAGAAGCAGCGGAAGGCGCCATGCAACATGACCTGAGGACTTTTGACCTTTGTAACGTTGAATACTTAAAGACTTAAAGATGTTCCTGACTTAACATTACTTAACAGTGGTTTTGATTGTTGCTGACTTTAAGTAGCAACATGGATCAAGATGGAACATTAAAACATGTTGATGATTTGATACTTAAAGTATCTTAAAGTCAACGCCCTTGAACAGGCAAGATGACAGTCCCGCCTCGAGAGAGAGGCAACATGATTCAGTGACTGGGTGATGTACTTCAAAGATCTTCAAGTGGATTTCCAACCCGCGGCCTCTTCTTGCTCTACTTTCGTGCGAATGTGCCCCCAAACTTGATAAAACTTGTGCCACATGCTCCCAAAACGTGGCTTTGAACGCCCTGTGGTCAAGAGAGGGTCGGGGTGGTACCACTATTCGGCCATGTAGAAACGACTGATTGACTAAGAGAGGACATACCCGCGACGGGCTTCAAGCAGGCATGGGATAGGCACCCTATTCAGGCGGTTTCAAGTTCTTCTCACCTCAGGCTTATAGTGGATTGAGAGGACCAATGGCACAGACCCCAATGTCGGTGGTTTATATGGACCTCCATCTGCGTCAGGTCGCGCGTCGGTGGATGCGAATGTGTTGTGTGGCATAGAACTGCCCAATTCGGTTGATATTGTAGATGTGTCATGATGTACAAGAGCTTGACTCGTGCCAAGACAGCTCTCACTTGTCAATCCACAGAAATCAGATTTGCTACATTGCACAAAAAATTGACTCCAAAATAGCCTTTCCCAATTGATGTTTTAACACCTACATTGGGGTGAGGGTGGTTTGAGGTGTCAATGTAGGATTAAGTAGGTCCGTAGGTGTATATTCCATACGTGGAGTGTTTGGGTTTTGCAAGTGGACAATGCTTGGCGGAAGACGTTCCATCAGTTTCGTTAACAGCTGATAGACAGTGTGCTGATAGACAGGGTGACTTCGTTTAGATGCAAAGTACGGTGAATCTCTGATGAACACCTATGCCCTGGGAGTAGACTTTAGTTCGCGATAAGCTTAAGGCAATCTAAAGTAAATGCATATTTAGCCTTGTGACTTCCAGGGTTTGAACATCATTTTGATCCACAATTGCTCATTATGGGGTAGAACGGGGAAAACAACCCCAAAGAGCGTCCCTTCGAAGCCTCGACCAATTGGTTTCCTCATGCGTTCACGCTTGCGCCAGGCCTTTGACGCCTTGCGCCAGCGAGTGCCACTGGAGCTGCTGACGAGGGTCCGGCGACAGAAGCATCGTCGCGAGGCCGACGGAGGGTCCGTGCCCGACCTGGACCGACCAGCAGTTCCACAAAGGGATTGGACAAGGGTGCGCATCAGACATCCACTTGAGATATTCTGAGATCAGCCGTCATGGAACCAGATTGTTTGAAGACCCTGGAACTGAATATGTTGATGCTATGTGCGGGATAGGGGATTCTACTGAGTCGATGGGCACAGGAGCGATGGAGTTTCATCCCAATGCCACGAGGATTGTGTGCCAGATGTTGTGTGGTCGGATATTTGCTTCCTGATATTTTGCAATTAATGATTTCTTGATATTTATTGTACATAAATATGTGTGGTACATTGATTAATATATAATATATATAATATATGCGCAAGACCACAATGGGATGGAGTGAATGTTTCCGGTGCACAAATTCAAGAAGATTCAAGAAGATAAGATGTGACAAGAAATGCGACTCTTGTCCACTCAGTGTATGTCAAGCCCATTGTTTTCCTCAGGTTTTCCGGCCCATGATCTCAAGGTTTGGTGGGGGTCAAGCCGGATCAATCATTCATCAAGGCTCACCAATGCTCACCAACATAAGCTTCTTTGTTCCCCAGATAGCTGGCAACTCTGGGGATTTTTACTTCCCCATACTTGACTTCGGCCCTGATAGCAACTATTCTGCCTGGGAGCGAACTTGGAGTGGACCCAGGAACTTTGTATCGCAGTAGTCCCAACTTCTGGAAAAACACCACCTTGGAAGCTTTGCTGGAACACATTTTATGCTTTGATCTCGACTTCCACCTGGAGCATCCTCGATCTTTGTGACACGGACCGCACCTTTTCACCTCCGTCCTATCCAAAGTGCTACCTACCTCTCCACCCGGTATGGTTCAGCTTTTAGAGGACGTCCACTTTGGGGTTTCTGTTCGGTTCTCCAACTCGGTGGATTGCAGCCTTGGCCATTTCTGACAGGTGTGGAGGCTTTGGGATAATGAACTCCCGCACATGGTGGCGATTACCCGGTATACACCCTTCAGGCCTATACCCCACCAATAAAAACAAAGAGCGCGCGGAATCCCGCGCTTGCAGCGCGATTCGGAGCTTCAAAAAAGGCGTCGCCGCGCGAGGTGGGCCGCATCCCCTCCCAATGGCGGCAGCGGAGCAAAGCCTTCCGCACGGCGATCCGCGAGGCGCGAGCAGCGAGCCGCTCGGCCCATTCGGCAGCGGCCCATTCGGCAGCGGCCTACGGCGGCAAGGGCACGAAGGATCTTCCCTTTGCCATAGTAGCTCCTGGCATCGCTACTAGTAACAAATAGTAACAATTTACTTAGTATAGCTAGTGAAGGGATGATTTGGGATTGCGTTCTTGAGATTCGCCCTGGGGCCCTTGGGCAAACTTTACCCACTGTTCCCTCAGGTGTGTTCAGGTTCTGTATCAATCTTCAAAGTAATCAGTATAGTATAGCTATATTGAATACGCCTGCCAAGCGTTAGAAGATAAACATGTTAGAACCATGAACCTGAACTTGCACTAATGAATTTGTGACTCTCTCTGCTCAGCTCTTTCTGGCTCGACTGGCCCTCCGTATCAAGCGGCTGTGTTTTCCAGCTGCTACCATTAATAGTACTGCTGCACGTTGTGGTCTACTGAGCCTATCCGGCCTATCCCAGTTATTTTAGATCCATTGGCCAAAAGCTCCACAAGGGCCCCTTGGCCTCTTTAAGGGCCAGAACCTGGGCAGTGCAACAACTTCGCAGGAGAAGGATCCATGGTCAACGCCTTTTGTGATTCCGGATGCTAAGCTGCTCTTTTGTCCACAGTTCATTCGGTGGGCACCTACGGTGGCATTTTCAAGTCGGGCAGCGCCCTGGAAATTTGACCACATTGGCAGAACTTGAAAGCAAAGCTGCTTTGCGGATGATGTTTGAGTCGGATTGGGTGAAGTTAGTCGTGGTCCGTGATCCGTTGGATCGCTGGCGCTCAGCTTATTTTGTTGAAAGGGGCAACCAAGAACAAGCGCCGCCCGCGACACCGACAAAAAAATCAAAAAACAATTGGCGGATGCACTGAATATAGACCAGTTTCCGCCCTGAGCAACTTGAGCTGTGCCGCGTTGGTGAGGAGAATCGAGGCTCAAATGAAAAAAACAATTGATTAATGTCCACTGGATGACGCACGCCGGAGCATGTAGCCTAAAGCATCTCGATGGTTTCATATTATTTCAAGAAATCTACCAGTATGTGCTGCACATGGGCATTGACAAGACCACCCACCCCGCTTTGCGTGATTGCGTTCTTCGGATCATGACAAGTAGACTGCGTAAATCACGGCTCTCGACCCTGCAACACATTGTTGTCTGAAAAAAAGCAAAGCAAACTAACAGCGCATGAGACTAATTCAACCCTTGAGATAGTTCTGTGACCAGGCTACTTGCAACCGGGCTCTCAAATCTATGCAGAAGATTCTGAGCTTTACCTACTTGTCCCAAGACTTCTCACATGTGAGGTGGCCAGTGTAGATGTCTCTTCTATGGACTCCGAGACTGACTGCGCACAGAGGACAGCAGCAGATTGAAAGATCAAGGCTGATCAGCTCAACACAGAGCTTTCAAAAAGGGCATTCCGGCATTTGTGGGGCCCTGCGCATTTGACTTAAAGCCTTGATGGTCAGACTGTCAGACATGATGAAACAGATGATCCTTTTCCTGGATGGACCGGGAGGCAGGATGCATCACAAACTGTGATTCGCAGTTCCCTGCAAATGCAGCCCATCCCTTCCTAAAGGGGGTCTCTTGAGCAGTGTGAACAACAACTTTTTCATTGGGGGGGTGCTGAAAATGCAATGCAAGTCCACCAGGTTTCTGCATCTTTGGTCCAGCCACGAAACGTCAATGCGAAACGTCAATGCTTTTCCTCGCCTCAGCACTGTTTTCCCAACGTTGGACTGTTCAGTCGAATCGATAGCGACCAAGGCAAGCAGAACATCCCTGCAGCTGTCCCTTTTGGAATACACTCTGACTCACTAACATGGAAGTGGATGGCATGGCCCCTGTGAAGACCATGAAATCCTCTATAAACATGTCCTTTTCCATTTCCATGCGACGTCGTTTTTCGTCCCATTTGAGTGGGGGTGGCTGGTTGATGGGTCGAGTGAAAGCCCGCATCTCGCCAAGGTCTCTCGAAGGTACGGCCGCTGCGGCGGAATAGTGCTGGGGATTCTTGGAACAAATGTGCGGTTTGGCGCGGAAACCGATCGTATAAGAGGACGCTAAGAGAAAAGAGGTGATGCTTGGGTTTGAACACACCCGCGGAGCACGCAGAGCTTGAGGTTACAGAACATTTTGACGAAGAGCCATCGATGATTTCTGCATTTTCCTCATTTAGATCATTTAGGCAACCTTCAGAGACACCCACAGACAGCTGTCCACCTGCACACTCTGAGGATTTGGATGAGAAATCGCCCTGCCCCCACTGCGGCCGGAAATTCACTGAGATTCACTTGGCAAAGCATGCGCCTGTGTGTCACTTGGCTTTGACTCCTGAAGGTCGCTTGAGGGTTTCATGGGGCAACAAGTTGGGTCAAACCGGCGCGATTTCACCGCATGGAATTGGATGGATGGGTGAAAACACCCCCCCCAGTCACGCTCCCATGGGCCCTCGGCCCTGGGCCCTCCCTCGTTGGTCGCGGCTCATTCGCTCTCTGAGGTCGGGCGCAGGTGGGACAGAACGCGGTGACCAGGGGGCGAGCCATGTGACGAGTGAACCGAGGGTTTGAGAGCTTTGGGAGGGTGGTTTTTTGGGGAAGATGTTCGGATGGGTGGACACCTGGAAGAAGGATCATGATCTTCCTTGCTTTTTGAAACAGGTCTTCGATGACATGTTCTCTCTACCCGGGGCGTAGTAGGGGTGTAGACTTGAGAACATCATTCAAATTGGGAGTCAATTTGTATGTTTAAAAGACTACCCCTTTCGAACTCAACTCGCGGGATCTCGTCGCAGGATCTCGCTTGTGTTGAGATCAATTGGATTGCTGAAGTTTCGAGTCATGCGCTGTATTGGTTCACTTCCTGAAATGTTGGAATCCCTGTTCGACCTGGGCTTTTGAGGTCGCAAAAGCTGGAGAAATCCATGCCATGGATCCAATTGACACCTGGTCTATGGAGCAGACATCCGCCCCGTTTCGAGAGTCTACTGACACTGGGGCCTTCCTTGAGATGTCAATAGGCCAATAGGTGCACACGCATACTAAACAATGTATTGCTATATAAGTATATATATATATATGTATTATTATACATAAATTGCCGGACTCTACAGAGAGAGGGAGGTATGTAGTGTGTGTATATATATATATTCAAGAGGCTGTTGGGATTTGTTGGGCGTGGAGTGGTACCTTGTTGCTGATGAGATGGTCCTGATAGCCGCTGGGGCGGACTCTTCAACCTACAGATTTGCTCTCAAGATGGGCAAACGGGAGAGGAGAAGTGAATACCCCTTGTTTCGTTGTCATGGGGTCCTCTATGTTTGAGAGGTGTCCATAATGGCATGGTAGGCAGCATGTAGAGGGTCCGATGAAACACAGAACCCTTTGGCATTGTCGATGCCAATGAACTAGAGCAGAATGTTTCAAGCACTTCGTCTTCTAGATAGGTCGCAAGTTGATTGGTTTGCTCGGAGACGCTGTGCATCTTGGCTAAGGGGAGTCAACACCCCGAAATCACACCATATCCGTCCCATCATGCAAGAGTGGAAGGCTATAAGACCACCATTTGAACGGCTCAGCCCGCACGGCATTTGCGGTTTTCAATAAAAGACATCGACCCTGACCCTGCAACCTGCTTTATGAGTCTATGAGAGACTCTTCAGCCTTCAACCTGCGATGCACGGCGATGCATGGCCCACTTGGTCAGGTTCCTCTGGTTCAACGCGTGGCGCAGACGCGGCCAGAGAACATCCGTGCAGCTGGCTGACGCTTGGTATTTGTCTTTAGAGCCTCGGGGCGAACGAATCAAAGCAGAATGAATCTACTGGGGGTATCAGTTGGAAGAACCGAGTCTACTGGGTCATGTTTCCTTGGGATGCCTTGCGTGTTCATTTTAATGTGTCGGCCTGGAGAGACGCAGACGCAGAGAAACTCACCAACACTCATCAGTTGCTGCTGCCGGATGTTCTTTCGGAGACGCACGTGGACGCACCTAGAAAGACCTGTGTGTGGGATTGTGTGGGTCCATGCTAAACACCCTCAGACACTCGCCCAGAACCATGCGCCATGATGAAACGAGATGAGACGTTCCCTGTTTCTTCGTGACCCGAAGGACCGACGCCGCGCCCGAAAACCGCGCTTCGCCGTTGAGGTGCTGTGGGAGGCGCGCACGACACGCGGCCGTGGTGAAGGAGCCACCGGTCTGGGTCTCGGGGATCTCCGTCCAGCGGCTGTTCCTGCCCCGAGCAACGAAACATATCCTAGTCCTCTAGGTGAAAGCGGATCTTGTAACTTGTCAAGAGGATTTGTTTAGGTGAAAGACTGTTGTTGTTTTCTTGTTTTTTAAATGATGTCTTGTAACTTGTAACTGTTTCTCGTTCGCGGCCATCAGGTTGACTGGGTGAAACGTCTATCAGACATGATGTTTCAGGTTTAGGGTTTAGGGACCGTTCGCTGCATGGAGAGCCGGGCCGAGTCGTTCCTCCTCCTTCCAATGTGGAAAATGGTGAATCCTGGAAACCGCAAGGCCTGGAGAGGAGGAGAGGGCCCAACAGATTGGGATCCGGAACAAAATGCGAAGGAATGTTTGTCAATTATATGGTTAAACATGCTATAACATATATGCGTCACAGGCAGGCAGGCGGGTCCATGAGTTTCCGCCCGTTTTGGTTGGCCTTGGGGTACGACACGAAGGTCTCACAGACATGTAGTAGATGACTGACATCTCCTGCCTTCTCATGCAGGAGCATAGAGTCTGGCACAGAATGCACTCCCGAAGCTCAATAATTATATACTTCATCGGACTTATCCAGTGTGACTTTCATCTCAAAACTGTTGGGAGTGTCGAATCTCAGCACGAGATGCCCGATGTCGGTGATACTTGCATCACAAACCTCTTACCTGCAAACATCATTGCAAGCATCACCTACCCGGAGCATTTGACGGCGTCATTTTCAACCTGTCTCACCAAAGAATTTGCGCGTGTTTCTAGGGAAACATCCATAGACCCTGGTCATGAACCTACCCGAAGAATTATAGTCAGCGTGTCTTGTGTATGCATCTATTTTGCAACACGTTCCCATAATAGTTCTTTACATCGCTTTGGCTGAGAATTGCTGAAGCATGAGCCACCCCACCGAAAATAAAACTGAGACCTTGAATATAAGTCTACAAAACGACCCGCGTGGTGTGCCCCGGAGCTTGCTGTGGGTATGTTCATTGGGGTTTATGGCCTTTGCGATCGTTAATGACTCCGCTGATCCGAGCCGCGCGAGTGGAACGTGCACGGTGAGCTCGAGCAGCGAGAGGATCAAAAGGGCTCAAGAACCGGCTGGGTCAGGGACGAGTTGGGGACGAGCCGGGCAAGTCACGGAGGATGAAGGAGTGTTTTCCAACATAGAATAGACCCCTAAGTAGGTAGAACAGTAAAATCCCTTTCAAAATTATCGGAAACCGTTTCATACCTTTTCTATCTATGTGGGGGCCACATAAATCTATCAGTAATTTTGGCGAAAAAGATGAGACAAGCGATCAGGTGAGCTTGCAAGTCTGAACAGACAAAGAGGCGAGCACCTTTATGTCGTCACCGTGCGCTTCGCAACCTCCACGACGTCCGTCCGAGCGGTTCGCCGCGAGCGGTCCAGAGGCTTCCCCTGGCATTTAGACGTGGAAGATCTTGGACCTGAGGAAGCTCAAAGCCGCTTGGAGTCGACTGTTGGTCCGGTGTTTTAATGTCGACGGGGGCTTGACGGCTGACAAAAAACCGCTTGGAGGGACCTCTTTTGAAGTTCAGTGTTGACATGTGCCCTTCACCAGTTAAGCCTGTAACAAGTCTTTTTGTCAACAGTTCCCATATGTTGCATGCTTGGCGGTGATGATTCCCGTGCTCTCAACTCACAAGCAGGCAGCAGGATAAGGGGCCCAAGAATGCCCCAAGAACAGTCCCCAGGTCGATGCAGGCTGTATTGCACAAATAGGCCCACTGCCCACAAAGCTCGAGGCAGGCTCGTCGATGATTCGATGGTACCTCACAGATCCTCACACCATCTCACACCACTCTCCATGCCCTCCAGGTTTGCTTGAGCATGGCACTACCTGGCATGTTGGAGATGGGGCGTGGTGGGGTTGAAAATCTGGTGCAGCCAGCCAATAAACATCACCAGACTGGGAATGCGCGCTGTTTCTTTAGTTCCAATATATAGCTTATGGCATATTTGGTTACTTGGCCGTTCTTGGGACCACTTTGTGCCTGCTGGCTTACCTGTTAAAATTCTTGGTATAAGTCTACATATGTCAGCCTGCTTGGAACCTGCTAATGCCCAGATGGACATTTTCCAGAGCTTTGTGCACCTGGCAGTCGGGTCCTGACCTGGAAAATACAGGTCCAGTCCGAGGTCCAGTCCAAGGAGACGATGAGAGCGACCCTTTCAAAAGCACTCAATAGTCGAGTTAAATCTGGTGAACTGGTTGTGATCAGAACTTTGGTTGCTCTTCATTCGGACCCTCCAGATTCAGAACAAAGGGCAGTAATACCGGAAGTAGTGCACTAAGACCCACTTGAAAGAGCGAAAGACAGGACGTACAGGTCACATGACGTATCATGACATCAACTTACTGGAGTTCTTTGGGTTCCAATGGCTCGTTCCTACACTATTTGTATCTATTTGTATCTATTTGTTGCTTGTTGCACCTGCTGATGGGCTGTCATGTCTTCACGTTGTCAGGGCTTCGGTCCGTTCCGGATGACCTTCATCCAATCGCCGTCCTCCCCGCCCGTCCTGAAGACCACACAGATGGGAGGGGCCAACCTGCCATGGCCCGCCTCAAATGAGGAAGGGCCAGCATGGAGCCAGCATGTAACAGCACGCTTCCTGTAACAAGTTTTTGGTGATCATCATAAGGAGATGGAAAGAGCATGATGATCCGACGAGTTGAATGAGTAAGATCGGACCCAAGATCGGACCCCATGCACAGGTTTGTTATCCCTCTAAATTGAGACCTGAATTTGAGTCATGTCAAAAGGACCAACACCAAATGATTGGACGTGCCGGTAGGACCCTCCATTCTTTGATCCAAGGGCACTGACCGTGACTGAACTCTGCAGTATATATATTATATATATAGTCTGTAGTTCTCGAGACGACAGACGACCATTTATGACATTTTGTGACCATGTCATTGATTGAGAGGGTTCCATCTTCTCCGGCCCCGCCTTGACTTTGTGCACCTCACTGGGTCTAAAGAAGCGGCATTTTCCGAGCCATGCCTGCTTGGAGGCGGGGCCGCAGGGGGAGGATGCAGACAGAGCGTAGTCTCAACGAAGGTCAAAAGAGGGGACAATGGTTGACCAGTGATAGTGATCAGAATAGACTCTACCTGGGAAGTCCACCTACTGTACAAGGGGCATGTGATTCCCAAAAGCTGTTACTGGTAATTGCCAACATCTTCAAGATTGGGAAGGACCACCTATTCTCCCCCAATGACACGGCTCCAGACAAGCCATGAAAAGCCCTAGGCCAAGGCTAGCCTTGGCTTGCTTGGCCTTGGCCATCCGCTGGCGCCCCGATTTCGTCAGCTTCAAGGGTCACCGAGGACAGCGAGGCCTTTAGCCGGGTGGGGTGTGGAACTGTCGGCGTTCGGAGTGGATCTTCGCTGCGTGCGGTGTCGATCTTCGGCGCGGCGGGTCTTCAAGGACGAAGAAGGTCCGGATGTTGTTGTGTCCTCAGGCGCCATGAAACATCAAGGTGCTTTCAGGCTCCAGGACAGGCACATGATCCCCATTTGTGTTGTTTACTCTGGGTGGTTTCCGGGTATGTAAAGCTCAGGCCGCCTTCAAGCATCATGTAAGTCATTGTAAGTCGTATGTGTATGTGCTGCCTTGTGTTGCCAAGCGCCCTAAAGTGACCTAGGCCTGCAAACAACTTATGTATGGGTTTATGTTGGCTTTGATCATTTGTGTCGAAACGTGTAGATCCCTGGCTGCTAAGATCCCTGGCACGCTGGCAGGCCATGTGGCGCGTGCAGCGAAGGGGTTTGGCGCCCTAGAGTGATGTGCTGAAAACTTTGACGTTACTAGGTGCTTCCACTGCAAAAGTCGGAAAGTACAGGCAGGGCAACTCCCTCCCGGCTTCCCTTTTAGTTTTGCGCCCACCAATTGGGTCTACATGCAACCCTCAGCTGTCACACGACCATGTATCATGATTGACATGTTGGCGTTTGCATATGTCAGGCTGTGTCATATGTCACTGTTCCATATGATGTTAGACCGGTCGCAAGACATCTAGTCACTGTTTTTTTTCCGGTTTGGTGAGTGGGCATTGTCTCGCATGATCTAAGATGTGGAAGAGAGAATCCTGACTCTGGAGTTGTTTTTTGGCATCCAGGATGCTCATCTCAGAACATCCTAGCTAGGCTAGGCAGCCAGGCTAAAGTCATTTCAATGTCTTGCCCGAGTGAACACCCAGCACCGTGTGCTGGAGGTATGGGGTGCTTCGAAAGCTCCTGCAACTGCAAGAGGAGTTTCTCTCGTTGCCCAAAACCAAGGACCGAGATGTTGTTTTCCCTCTCTCTCTCTAACTCAATCAAGTTAAGTGTTTATTGAGTTTGTAGAGGGGCCGGTGAAGTTATAAGGCTTTTGATTGAACCACCTGAGCGGAGAAGTGTGCCGTGTAGGCCGAATTCCTTGTGTGTGAGACCAAGCAGGTTGGCGAATCAAACATACATAGTACTTAGTACTTGGCACCACTGGGTGTTTGTCATCAATCATATGAGAAGATGGAAGGGTGCAAGTATTATCCTTCTGATGTGGAGGCATGCAGGTGATATTTTTTATGCATTTATATAATTAGGCACTTTGCTCACATTATGAAGGTAAGAAAGAACCCCTGATGGAGAAAGCAAAAACAGCCAAACCTCCAAAGTTTATCCTGGCGAATTGTCTTTAGGCAACAGCGGTTGTGTTGATATTACAATGGGCCTTTTTAGATGGCTCGGCAGGGGTCTCTCGCATGAAACAGATGATATAGAGATCTATATAGTAAGAAGAGATGCCCATTCTTGTCATGTGTGGTTTGGCATGCCGGCGGCGCTGAAACCAACCATCCAGAATAAAACAGATATTGGCCATGCTCTACTTTTTGTTTGTCGCCGGAAATATGAAAGAATGCGTGGGTGCCATTCTCAGGTCTATACAGTGTCTTTGAAGAGTGACAGGAACACCACCCCCAAGATGCACACAACAAAGTTGACTGCAATGTGCGGTACATGCAGATGTATGTGTATATATATATATACAGTATACATGCAACATATAAACAATCAATTATAAACACGTACATTGAGGTGACCGGTGTGCCCTATAGTATAGAGATCTTTTGATGTGCATCCTTACTCGTTTGGCTGCTGCCCTCGTTTTGCTGCTCCCCCTGGAGGAGTTTGTGCTGGATCGTGACTGGCCTTCTGAACGGCTTTTGGCCGTGGAGAGCTTTCTGAAAAAGCACCAGGACAGGGATAGGGTTGCTGCGGATGCAAAAGGTTGCAGAGGTGCTTCATGATCTTCATGGTACTTCGGTGTTGCAGTTGCCGGCGAGAGAAGAATCCAACTGAAGAGGAACATCCTTTGGGTCTTATATAGTTGGCATGACAGTTTACTGTACTGTTAGTTTTTTTTGTGCGTGTGTGTTTTGGGTGTCCAATGTGTAGTTTGGCCAGCGGCTAGTGCTCAAAACCATTTGAACACCAGGGTGCCCAATGCACTGGGAAAAGAAATAACATCGACTGACGCCAGCAAATCTCTGATTAATCACCCTGGGTTGTCATTCGCCCTCCTCATGCTCTCGCGAGGAACATCCGCAGGCGGCCCTCTTGGACGTGCGCTCGCCCAAAGAGTTCGCTCAAGGCCATGTGCCTGGCGCACAAAGCTTGCCCCTGCAGCTTGGCTGAAGCAGAGTAATGGATCAAACAACATGGAGCGGGCCATGATGAGATGAACATGGAACAACGGCCAACACGTGCCGTTTGCAGCACGGGCGGCCCAGAAAGAGGAGCCCGTTCGAACATTCAACGAAACGGGTGTTGCTTCGCTCGGGTCGGTCGGTCGTGCTCGGTCGATGCACGGCGCGCCGGAGCGGCAGCTGCTGTCACAGGCTGAACGATGATGAGAGGCGGCACAGGGGATTCTGCCACTGGAAGGGTTCGGCAGCACCGCCACTGATATGAGTTGCGTCGATGCTAAGGCGACCTCCCAACACATTGGAAAAGAGATGGCAATTAACAACAAAATGCTGTCACATTTGATGTAAAAGGCAATGTTCATGTAGCATGTATACAATGTATACGAGCTGGGTGAGACAGGACTTTTCATGGGTGCTATTTGATCCAGATTTATCCACCAAAGACTCAACAATGCCCAAGCTTTAGGCCCTTGCTATCCCAGCGACGTCCTTTTCAAAATCATGTCAATTAGTGCTGACACCATGGAACCAACTCCTTGATCTGGGGACTAGACAAAGATCACAAGAAGGCCTTATACTATTTTGTACTGGGACTCTTACATCCAATTGACCAGCAAGAAAAGCAGTTTGCACCCAACACTATCCTTCCTGTGACTCCAGCTGTCTTTTTCGGTTGTGGCCTGGGTTTTTCAAACGTGCTTCTCTTGCCATGTCGAAACTAGCAGCTAGGAAAGCTGGTCCCTTTGGTAAGCCTTGTCCCTCCCTCCAACACTCATGGAAGTGGAAAACCATCTGCTTGCAGGGATGCTTCACGTCCATCTTTGTTGGAGGAGGGTTGTGACGTTTCCAGGTCGCAACCTACGACGCGATGAGTACTGTAATGGTTCATGATATGCGTTAGATCCTTCATTCAATGGTATCCCATTCATCAAAGATGTCTAAATCATCCCGCAAACATGTTCAAGAGGGATTGACTTGGACGGATGTGACCTTGGGTTTCCTAGGTCTTAGAGTCTATCTCTTCCAGGATGTTGGCGGAACGACTTTCTCTACGTTCTTCATCTTTATTTTTGATGCTGGTGAACTAGCCGAATTCCATTGAAATGCCTCTCATTGTCTTCCTGTGGGTGGCGTTTGGTGCCCTGTTTCGTTTGACCGGCAGGGCGGCGGTGGGCACGACTTTCGTCCAGGTGGGTTTGGAGCCTAGGTCTCCATATGGCGCTCATGCTTTTTGGAGGCTGCGGTTGCAGTCCTTTAGCGGTGAGATATTTGGTTGGTAACACATTCCAAAGGCTCAGCACTTTGAACCTCCAAAAAACATGCTTCTGCACGCGTCACCGATGAACACCGATGCCTGGCTGGCGGATCAACACTACCCGACTCGGCACGGACCCGACGATCAGATCGTCTCGGATCGGAGGTCCTTTCTTTTCCGTTTTCAGAAGCGCAGGACATGGGGCGTCCATAGACTTCACAGTGTGGTCCACTGCCTTGTTTGATCTTCTTTTAGTGACTAGGCCCTATAGGCTCTGAGAAATCGAGCTCCCACCAACCGGAATTCTTGATGGAGGACTTCTGCTCAAGCACATAGCTGTGCCTCTAGAGGGGCATGGTCAATCTCTTCCGACAAGTTCTCAGCTCGTGAAACAGACCATGCTCGAAAGCAGCTCTTGGTTGGTTTGCGTTGGAACGTCAAGGCGAACATCAGACCTCCACCAGATGAAAGGGCTTTCCATGCCTTTCCCAAGTTCGATGTTCTGACCGGACACATGCCCACCTTTCAGCACTGCAGGCCCGGACGAAGCCTTTGCCAGGTTCTTAGTGAACTGGAGAGGTGCGAACAGTTCACGTGGACCAAAGCAGGAACGCACTTTCTCAATGTTGTAGCCACTTGCACCACTGGTAGCCACAGTCAGGGTCACCAGTCACCCAATCTTCCTGCCACTTCGGCGGCTGCACAGAGAGTTGATCCATGTTGAGCCCGGTAAGAACTGCAGTGTCCCATTGTTGTTGAATCTACAAGCCTTCTCCTCGTTGAGCAACCTGAGATGGAAGGAACACAGTTGATGCACATCCATCAACATCCATCAACATGGTCCTCCAGCTGGAGGGGTCAGACGTGCCAGCTGGGCACGTTGTTTGAGGACTTGGCTTTGAAGAGTGTCCACCCCAAGCTGGCACAGCTCCTCCAAGAGGCTGAAGAATCGGAAGAATACACCTGCAGATCTTGACTGAATGAACGTTGCAAGACCAAGCTGGTCCAAAAGTGCGTTGATGGCTAATTATCTATATTTATCTATCTACTTGGAGGATTCTGGTTGACCAGGACCTAATGTCATTCAAGTGACTGGAAGCTCCTTAGCAGTAGGACCGGGTTCGTTTTGGAACGAGCGAGATGGGGATCGTTTTGGATCTTGTGTCTCTTATAATTTCATAACATTTCATATATATAACTTTATTGATGTGTGGTTTCTATGTTGGTTCATTCTTTTGTGTGGGGGCCCTTTCATTATGTTTTTCTCAGTAGTTTGGGTGCTTTGTTTTTCTCTGGTTCTTCTGATTCTGATGTGTGGTTTGATTCTATGGCACTATGGTGTCTTCTTTTCTTTTGTGTTGGTCATGGTTCTTGTTGGTGCTTTTTCCCTCTTGGTAGTTTGAGTCGTGGCCACGTGAGGGGTAAAACATTCGAGGAGGAAGGAGCCATTCCAACGTAGCAGACCTTTTGTGAGCCACCCGAGTTTTAACATTTAGAGGAGGAGGGAACCATGCAAGCGTAGCATTAGAGGAGGAAGGGGCCATTTTAGAGAGTGGAGGCCCCTCGAGGGCAACATTTTCGAGCAGGAAGGAGCAATTCCAAAAGAGCAGATGATGTTTTTCATTTCTTTGGCGCTGCACCGTCCCCCCAACCCCTTCCCGCACCACGAAATCTGCCTTCCGGTCTTGCGGATGGGTGTTTGTGTTCCAAACTGAGCCCAATCGTGTGTTCGAAATCGCTAAACTCGCTAAACTTAACGAACTGAACTCGATGCGTTCCCGATCTTAATCATGCCTCCCACTTGGGTGTCCCCCTTCTTCTCGGGAAGGGGTTGCTGGAAAACCGAGAAGGCGTTTTGTTGGGCGCCGATGGCTGCGCGGAAGGCCAGCTCAGCGACCGGACACCAAGAGGTGCCGTCCCGAGCGGGTGTCGTTGCGCGGTCGAGGAGCCGTCCACCTCGCGGTCGAACGAGTGGGGTGGGAGGTTTGAAGGGAACTGTAGACAGCCCCACGCACATATCATGTACTTCAATTTCTTCCAGTAGGCCACTAGTAGACTAGCGAAAACAGGAAGGGGGAACCAGCCATTGAATTATTGCGGAAAAGGGAACTTGGTTCTGTTGGTAGTTACTAGGTGCGGATCCTGGGCTAGTTTGTTTACTGCTCGAAATCCTTCATATACTTTCTTGATGCCAGACTCCCCGTCAGGCCGGCCAACTCCTCCTCTACTGCAAGAGAGGCACGGGGCTTCAAGACCTCATAACAGTTGGCGCAAAGTTCAGCCTGCCCTGCGGCCAATGTAGCATGTGGCTGCCCTTGCGATTGGCTGCCGCAAGCTCAAGATACTGAAAAGGTCTGTAACAATAGCAGATTCCAGCGTAAAGTGCCGACCCTGCTCAATCGATTCATATAGGTCCTGGGATACAGTGTCCTTTGTCCACTGCCCGCAATGAAAAGGGTACGACCGTCTCGCGGGGTGCCATCCCACGCGTTTCCCCAGTGAATTGGCAGTACTGGTTCAGTTCCCTAGTGGAAGCGTTATCCGCAGGTGGCATGCGCTCACAGTCCATGGCAAAGCCGGGAGCTTTGTCAGTGGTTGGGGAGGATTGGGCGTGCTATAAATGGTGGATCTACCTTCAATGTTTACGTTCAAAACTGGTAAAGTGTCATCGTCATCATCATCATCATCATCATCATCATCATCATGGGTATGTCACTGATATGATGGTTTGGTCATGTTTGGTCTATCCACTTGAGCACGCACCCGGCTTGTGAATGGTGACAATGGTCACCTTTCATCTCGCCAAGCATGTTCTGTCTCGCTCACAATGATGGCGGTCTACAGGCGGATAGATAAGGACTCTGGTGGGTGGACAGGGCTCGGATTCCAGAGACTTCACATATGAACACAGTGGCAATTAATCAATTATATATTTCATATTAGTTCATATTTCACTGGTTAGTAGTCATTTTTGGTTAGTAGTCGTAGTTGCAGTGGTTGGTAGTGTGTGATAGGTTTTGATATGTTGGTGCTTGCTAGCTGCTAACCATCAGAATTCACGAAATATCGACAGAGGCGACGGGCCTTGGCGCCGATTTCTCGGCAAACCGTTGATTTCTCCCATGGCGGACGTCAGAGTTGGGAATGCCGTCCATCGAAAGGCCCGGGGAAGGGATTCACTTCCAAAAAATCGGCCGCACCCTCATGTTGTAAACTCAGTTATTTGTAGGCTCTTGGTTAATACACCCCCCCCCATATGAAGATTATGAAGAGGATTTCCGATTCCGATTCGACTGGGTGGGGTTTATGAACCACGCGTCTACATTACCCCTACCCCAAGGGCTTTTCGCATCACTAAGCCGCCTGCTACTTTGCCAGGCTGCTGTCGCGGCATGGCTTTGAGGTCGTGGTCCTTGACGGAGGTTACAAGGCTTAGTCCGGGCGACCGGGGGCCGTTTGGGCACACATCGGCATGGAAGCACGAGGCAGGTGGGGGAAGGAAGAGCAGAAGAACCAATGTGGCGTTTTCAGAGGTTGCCTCAACATACAGGGGGCCATGTCTCATCAGCCCATTGGACCGGATAAGCATCCAAACCCATATTTTGCTAGGTCTTTCCAACTTTTGCTTCGCATTGGGGTCTTTTGGCCCTTTTCCGCAGGATGTTGATGATGATGATGATGATGAGGAGGAGGAGGAGGAGGAGGAGGATGAGGATGAGGAGGATGAGGAGGATGAGGATGAGGATGAAGATGATTATGTGTGCCATTCCTGTTTGTACCTTATTTTTTTTGCGTTTGATATATGGACAGTTGTACTGTTTTGACAGACGGTGGGCAATATGGGAATGAGATTGGTCGGTTGTAGTTAAGCTGCCACTGAAAGGTCCATAGACACTGTAAAACGAAGACTCGTTCGGGATTGAGTGAGTCATAGGCAAAACGATCGTATTTGGATTTACAGTACCAATTTTTTGCCATGTCATGACTTGGATCAGGTCTTGGCATTTGTCCTCATATCATGTAGAGGAACCCCGTGGCACTAGGGCGCCTGGAACCTGTAACCTGGCCCAGTTTCTGAAGAGGCTCTTGAAGTCACACACTGGAATCCGTTGGGGCTCCAAGTCGGTCGTGGGGAGGTTCCCAAGTTTCTTCCACACGGTGTGACTGCTGACCAGGGATTTCCTGAACCTGCGACTGCGAACTTCTTGGGAGCTTTGGGAAAGGTCAGTGGGAGTCCAGCCTTCGACTTGAGTCGAAGACCCCACAATGGACAGTGGATATACTGATGGGTGGTGGTTCTTCATGTTGTACTTGGGCATGCTCGCACCGCTGCGGCAATCCGGCTCGGCCAGAAGAAGAGGTGGGCCAGTAAGAACAAGTAATACGATGTAATACGTATATAATATGATTATAGGTGTGATTACAGCTTATAATTATGTATATATATATATATGTCAACTTGACTTGCATGCTGGCTTCCTGGCTTTGTCACCTCCACAATCAACTTGTAAGGGAACGGACCGTGTCTTTAAAGGAGGAGGTGGTCCGACGGAATCTGACCGACCAGTCGCAGCTACTGCCGTCACCCGCAACCATCTCAAGATATCTCAACATCTATTCAATGCAGATCGATTTGGCCACAAAGTAACATGAACATAGTGATTTTGTGCTAAAGTCTGGGACCCATGCACGAGATAATTGAGGTGTTGATACTGGTGAACCGGTGAACCGGTCTGCCCAAACTCGCGCGACCTGTTTCCGGCGCCGAGCTCGCTCGCGCGACCTAACCGATGGGTGCATTCACATCGGCAGCCTCGCGCGGATTCCAATGCCACTTGTCAGAAGGAAGCAGAAGTTTAGATGTGCAGGCAACCATTGGACATCATGGGGTCATCTAATAGATCTAAAAGATTCCTGTTTGAAAGGTCCTGTAAGCTTCCGAACTCAAGATCTACCCGCCGACGGTACTGTGGTGCGATTTGCGAGTATGATTGAATCTTTCACCCACTGGCTCCGGAGAGCGTACAGATGACCCTGAAGAGTGGCATGCTATGCTGCAGGTTTTCACAGGTTTTTTGTGTCCCACTTGATGCTGGTAGCACGATGGGACCAGATTTCCGCCCCACCAACATTAATCAATATCAATCAAGTGCACGCAGGCTTTTGGCTGACCAATGGCTGCTTCAAGCATACAAGACTTGGAGTGTTTGCTTGCATTTTGTAGTTGACGCACCAACACCATTTGACGTGTTGCTTTCACTGCAGTGCCTCAGAGATGCATTGAAGAGTGAGCCAGTCAAAGACCTCCCCCAAAGACAGGAATTATCGTTCCCAGGCATTCCTGGAGTAAACAGCTTTACGAGCCGCAATCAGAGCATGTGAAGACGACTTTAGTGGAAAGGGGTAGGTCCACCTCATATAATGTAGTAGACTATTGATAAAACCTTCCCCTTGAGATTGAAAAACCTCTTCATATGGGCCGTGCAGTCACAGATTCAATCAATGCCTTTGTCGCTACAGGGTCCCTTGTCTTCAAGACGGGTATCCGCGGTTGGTCACCTATACAAAAGGCTATGTAAACATGAATACTAGTTACTAGTGCACAAACGTGTGAAACCGAAGGGCACGTGTGGTTAGCTTTCATCTCCGAGTGATAGGACGTGTTAAACTCCCGCTTTCTGTGAGTCTTTGAATGTGATTGGGAACGTGGCTGCTCCATTGGGCTATGAAGAGGTCGCCGACCCGAGCTATTCGAGGCCCCAGGTGTGAAGAGTGCGCTTCCAATGGGCTGATGGCCAAGGAGTTGGTCCTGACGCGAGGTCCCAGTCAAGACCAGGTTGAGCTGATGGATGAACTCTGGTGCATGCAGGGCGCCTGGTACCGGATAGATGGCTCCAAGCAGCTTGGCTGATGAGTGGGCGGTACCAATGGTTCATCCACTGGCCAATGGTGTCTTCCATCAACACTCTCCAAGAGATCCTTGCTCTAACACCTAGTGGAACGCATGGAAAAGCACATGTTCGGAATGTATGTTTCGGGGGGGGTGCTCGAAAAAAAATGAACAAACACAGACAAGACATGTTTCAATGACAATGACCAGGACCAGAATCAAATACTTGGGGCATCACAATATCAATAGCATTTGCAGTCCTTGTGCAAAGCAATGATGTTTTGGGTACGGGGAGAGAGTTGCATGAAGGGTTAGGGTCGATTGGAAGGATCAGAACCGTAGACGTTTATGAGTCGACCGCTCGGAGATGTTCCAGACATCAGACATTTATGTGTCACCTGCTTGAGGGCTGCGAATGGCGTAAAGCACCACATGCTTGCGCCTGTTCGCAGCAATTGTAACACTCGGTTATTCGGGGGAACCTCGGAAGCACACCACACCCAGAACTACTCCCATCATAGGGGTGCTTTTCAATAGCCTAACATAGCCTGACAACATTCCGAAGAGAGAGTCCTGTGCAGAGAGCACAATTTTTTTTCAAGACATGTCGAAATAAAGGATTGGACAATGAACCAGCTGTTGTAGAGGGGAGAACGTGTACACAGTATTCACAGTATCTATATAAATATGCACAGAAAGAGAGAGGGAGGCCAGTCATGTAACAAGATATGTTTCCCTCACGCTGCACACAGGGAGGAGGCCCAGAGAAAGTTTGACACTTTCATGAAGGATGGGTCTTTCATGCAGGAGTAGGTCTTTTGAAGGAGGCAAACTTTCAAGAAGGACAGGAAAAGATACATAATATATATGTATTTATATAGATTTGGTCGGGCCTAGGGCCTAGGATGTGGAGTTGCACTGAACACAGGTTTAACAGATCATGTTCGGAGAAGGCGCTCCGAAGAAATTCCTTTACCATGTGGGTGCTAGGTGATTTTGGCGGACCTATGGTGGACCTCATTTGTATTCATGATTCATGTTGGTTTCCGAGACACGGAATCCCTCGCAAGTGAGATGAGCCCACGTAAGGCAATGTTTTGTTTTGCTTCTCGGTTGGTAGAACTATGAAAAGAGCCTTAGGAGTCGAAAGCTCTGAGGCACAGATCAATGCATCTTTTCCATTCTTTCCCACTTGCCATAGGAGGTTCGGTTTTCAATACTGAGAGGTTCGGTTTTCAGTCTTTGTTCAAGACTAACTTGAAAAAGCATACGAGTCGCCCGTCCAAGACCTTTCCTGCACCTTTGTGTGTTTGACGTTGGGAGCAGCACGAAAAGCATAAAGTGATCCTTCCTTAGCCAAGCTGAGCCACCTACTTACCGGTGCTCCAGAAACAGTTTTGCGGCTCAACCCCAAACAAGGGTTCGAGTGGTTTCAATGAAATCTAGACGTTCAGATGCCATTTTTGCTCCCCACACAGGTGACCCCATCAGTTTGAGATGGATTCCATGGTTTTGCAATGTTTTCAGGATCACTTCCACGCAGTCGGAGCGTGTCATGGTGTTTTGGCCTCGAGACGGCCCGGAGAACTGTGATATACTCCCGGGCACAAAGGTCCCAGAGAGCCGCAAAAAGCAAAACTACATGCAGTGCAGGCATGTAAGGATCGCCAAGTTGACAAATTCTCATTATCATCTTTTTTATTCTTTTTTCAAGATGCCCAACATTAAGTGTAATTAGTCACTGTGGTCCATGTCGTTCGGTTCCAGGATGGGCGATGTCATCGACAGCAACTTCCTTTGGGATGCCAGGAAAGCGCCGCGCGCTGTAAGGGGCGTGGCTAGAGAAACTCCAACGGAGTGAACCGAGGGCTGTGATCCTGTTAAACGAAGATCCTGCACCAGCGTGGTGAACCCAAGGGAATCTGGGGCGTTCTGTTTGATTCTTGCTGTCAGGCACGTCTCCCTTCAAGAGTGTGTCCTTCATTTGGCCATAGGTGAATGGAGCATGCGTTTATTTTGATACAGGAGCTGATATGAGCTGATCATGTTGTTGCTTTTGGTGTTTGGTTCTGGCTAGAGGTTTTGGCAGCTTTGGGTGTGTTTTGGTGCTCCTTGATGGCGCCACTGACTGCCGCAATTTCGAGCCTATATATAGATGGTTTCCATGTTTTACGGCCTTTTACAGTATCATTTTTTTGTTTGGAATATGTCTGTGTTCTCCAGAGTTGTCATAGATAGGCATCGGATGCCAATTGAATTCTGTGTTCCACTCTTCAGAACGGACGAGGTCTTGCAAACAGGATAGAAAAGGCCGCATCAATGATTGACAACCGTTCATTTGGGCGCATTGAAAAGGCCAGCGACTTGCACCCCAAGCGATGTTTCTGGGCTTGTTCTACAATTTGGCCGCATTTGCGGCAGCACATCTCTTCAACAGCTAGGGGGTCTTCGTGAATACGCATCCCCCCCAAAAGAAAGCAAACAAACACATGCCCATGCATCATCCTCGCATCGCAACTCGCAACTCGCCAGGGTCAAGTCCAAAGAAGAGATGTCGCCGCTGAGACTTGAGAAACACCTCCTGGTGATGTTCGTCGATGGTCAACAGCACACCGCAGTGATCCATCTGCATGCCCAGCCAACTCTGAGGTGCGGAGAGGTCATAGGGGTCAGAGTCAGACACAAAGAATTGGTACTCCGTGACCAACTTCACATGGAACTATGGAACCTGGGAATTGACCGGTGGAACACCATTTTCTGAATACCAACTCAGTGGTTTTGGGTTCCATGTTAATCTGCAGGGGTGTAAAGGACGTAGTTACAGCGCTGAGTTCATGCTGCTCAGGTGGTCTGACGGCGATGTGTGGCTGCTGAAATGAATGCGTTGGCCGCGCACCACTGTCTCACCTTTCTTGACTCTTCAGTACATAGCATGACTGAATCGTGCCTGAACCGATCACGTGCAAGAGTCCTTCAAAACTTTAATTGTGATGCGAGGGCTGGTGTGTCATGGTCAAGTTAATGCAGACTGTTGATGAATAAACACACCCGTGGCCATATGAAGAGACTTCCACAATTTCGAGTTTTCGGGAATGTTTCTTTACGTGGGCAAAGAGACTGATCGTGGAAGTGGGTCGAGAGTGAGAGAGAGGAGATGCTGTGAGAGTACATATATGTTTGTATGATACATGGCTTTTGGACGAGAGAAGGGACCATGTTCCCTATACTATAGGCGAAGCCAGCGGAACCAGCCAAGGTCGAAGTGGCCTCAAGTTGTACGTAACTTTTTGCCACCAATCTCGGTTGCAAAGGAGACACGAAGCTAGTACAAAGCCAGGAGAACTAGAGAGTCCTGGCAATCTATCTATATATATATAATTACTGTATGCATTTGTATGCAGTATGCATCATGAGCACTTGCATTGACTTGGTCACATCAAGGACAAGGAGTCCAGGAGTACAAGACACCAGGACGACCAAAAGGAGATAAAATGAGTGTACCAGCTTGGGCAGCTCGGCGAGGCCTTCCGGAACTGGGCTGAAGGGCAGCTGCGTGAGAAGCCCCAGAAGGCCCGGGCGCCCGGGCGTGGATGAACTGGGTCAGTGGATCACGGAGATTCCATATCATATCAGGTGTGTCTTGGAATAGGCATGCCTCCCTTGAAAGGCCCTAAGAAGCACAAATTTGCACCAAAACCATCCAAAACTTATGTAAGGTGGGTCGTTTAATTATATAACGATGAAGGGTTTGGGTTGTCTCAAGTGAAGGGCATAACGAAACTACTGATATCACTTATGGTGTCTACCGAATCCATCCAAATCTGCGCGTTATGATCTAGTTTAGGTGGTGTTCTCGTGGGCTTCCTTGTTCCAAGAAAAAGCTCAACGTGAAGCTTTACTTGGATACATGTTGGTAAGTTTATATAGATATCCCACTTGGCAACTAGTGACCAGCGGTGGATTACAGTATATTGCAGTGTCTACATGGCCAGGACGCAGGTGGGGTTGAATGAGGGGCAATCATCATGTCCGATAGGACTTCAGGATCAAGTTGTGATGGACATGGCAACTTGCTGGAGGGTCAACACAACTATGATAATGGCTATGACTGACTATTGCTCATGTGCAGAAGCATGCTGATCCAGGCCTTGGCTTTTTCAATTGACGGGAAACGGAGGAGGTCTTCAACACCTCCTGCAAAGAACCGGAATAACTAGCATCACCAACACCTTGTTGAGAAAGATATAGAAGGATTCCAGGGACGCACCGTTTTGTTTTGTGACTGGGGCAGCATGACCGCCGTCAAACTGCCTCAGGTGTGCGTCATTGCCGGTGTCGGGGGGCCCGCAGGGTTCCGTGCGGATCACCAGGTCACCGGCAGTCGAGACTGCGACTGTTGGTCAATATGTCCAATGCTTGGATGCATTGTTTCAGGCATCAGAAAGCCAACATGATGCCATGAAGAGCCCAAATGCGGTTCCACATGCTTCCCATTGTCACAATTGTTTCGTAGTGATACAGGAATACTAAATGGACATCACATATCCTAGCTCATCGTCGCTGTCGCTGTGCCTGCTCCACTCCTCCAGCACTCCGTCTCCCGCCCCAGACGCGACCTCAGCGCCCGAGGCCACAGGGAGTGGAAAGACGGAGGTCTTGGAAGAGATCCGAAGGCCGCCTTCGTCGGCTTCGACGCGGAGCACCGCGTGCCGTTGTTGTCCGGGCAATGGGGGGGGGGGGTGAACTGAGGAGATCAAGGAGGGCGGAGAGGTTTTTTGGGTGGGAGGATCTTTTTGGGTGGCTGTCCGGCACAACTTTGCCAATGATTTTGTTGGACCATCCAGCAGGCACAGCGGGTTGGCTGTTTCAAGTTCCCAAGTAAGTAAGAAATGAAAGACCTGCAGGCGCAAAGTTCTTGGGCATACAGGTCTGATTTTGGAGTTTTGGGTGAAGGATTTGGGAGATCTTCAAGAAACCAAGCAGACCTCCACAAAGGACACTGGATTTAGGCAGCCCAGACACTCCAAAAAAGCGTGGAACGACAATCATAATGTCTGTACTTGTACCTGCAACGACGCAATGAGATCGTTTCAGAGTGGCATTCCATAACCATAAGATGGAGTACACTGGGCAAAGGTCATGTCCATTGTCTATAGCCGAGTTGGAACTGGCATTGCACTTGTGTCATTTCCGTGCCCAGCTCTTTCGGGGCATGGTCCCGTGCGCCCCGGACAGCGAGGCAAGGACTTGGACAAGTCATCAACTTGGAGGCTCACAAGAGTATGTTCATGACATTCCATACTATAGAGTCTTTGGGAGTTGGTTCATGTTTTTATATGGCCTCAATAACGGATGAACTCCACTGCTTGACCAGCTGAGTTTTTGAATCGGAGGTGATGAATTGGGGTACCAGCTGGAGATGGGACGAACTGTGGCACGTCCCCAGAAGGGGCAACAAACCATCATAAATCATACCTGGCCAATGGCCAATTGCTACAAAAGTTGATGAAACCGATGAACTCAATGACTGGCTCATAACTTATTCCTGACACTGTCACAACTCTAGATATATAATCTAGATGCGTCACAACCTTGGGACCTCAGTGGTAGGCTTTTACTTAGTGCATTTGGGGAAGTCAACCAGGGTCATCCAGGGGATCCAGGATTGGACTATTTCTGATCCATTGGAAAAATCCATCCAAATCCATTGTATATATATATTAAAAAAGAACATTATATATTATATATATGTATATTGTATATAGCTTCCCGACTCACTGGAATGGAAGTAGTGGACAACCACCTTGTTGTAAAGGAAAATGGTCTTCCGGGCGCTGGTTTTCCACTTCCATGTTGAGTCGGAGGGGCTTCCAACAGTCTTGGAATATGTTAGTTCCGCTGGCCGCATCTCGCAGCACAGATTCGCGTCGACGGGCCTGTCCAAAGATCAACATGCGATCCATGGTGTTTTTTCGCACCCTTTGACCCGGAAAGCCCTGGAAGACATGCAAAAGTAGCTGCAGACTGGCAGACATCAAGAACCCAAAAGAAACAACTATATAATTAGTATAGATTCGGGGTGCTCCTCCTGCCCAAAACACACATCAAAGCATCACCGGGAAATTGACCCACCGCACTGAACGCCCATACTAAACGAAATCGCAGAATAAAAAACGCTCGCCGATGTCTGAACCCTCAATGAGCGACATGGCTGCGCCCGTGCCAAAGAAGCCCAAGGCAGCGCAGTGGAAGCGAATTGGAAGCGCAGGTTTCAACATGTGTCAACCACTCTTGTCCGATTGGGTGTCCAATGGAGAGCTGGAAGATCCTGCAAGTAGAAGGGCAGCCTGATTATTTAAATGGGCCTTGCATTGGCAGGTGCAGGTGTTACAAGTTACACGCTTTAGTTTGGTCTGAGGAATTGCTGGGTTCTTGCATGCGCATGCCATGTTTCCTGGGGAAGTGACGGGGAAGTTTTGCTGCGACCCTCACAGGTTTTCGGTGGATTGGTACCGGGTCGACTAGGTCCTATAACAGGCTAAGAATAGTACCCGGTCCAGGTAAGCATTGTTCGACGATCTTGACCTCTTGGGGAGGAAGATGTAAACAGCTCGTAGGTAGTCCAGAACGGTGGAACAAAGGCATTGGTTTTGCCGTCGTTTGATCAAATCAGGAACGGGAGTGCTTTGTCGGTAAGACTATACCCAGTACTATACCCATTTAATGACTCAGAGCTCCAGTCAGCGATAAATCACATTTTCCTGAAGAAGAGTCGCGAAGGACTTGATCGGCGAGCTGTTTTGGAAGCAAAACCTGTATAGCTTCACAGGAAATGGGCCAGGAGTTCTAAGGTTCCAGCCATTCCGGAGAATGAAAAGACCAGCACGCCCGATCCGAGAGTTCTGAGCAGGGTGTAGCATGAATGACCGCGTGGCAGGGCAGCCCCAGCACCAACCTTGTTCATTTGGCCCTGGCACCGGCCTCACCTGCACGCAGGGGAAGTCCCTTTCCTGGAAGTTGCCGGAGGACTTGGCGAAATCCAGTTTGACTGAATCAAGTCATATCTCAAAACAGAGAACCCCTCGGAGAGTCGCTACTAGATTCTGTAGATGAACAAATGCATCAATAACAACTGCGCCCTCAAACCTGAGAAACAGTCCTTGAGGCTCAAACCTCAGTCACATGTAGTCCAATCAGACAACTGTCGGAGTTTACTTTTTGGTTGAGGTGGTCCTGTTCCCCTGCAAGACTGAATTCTCGGTGGTTGCCTGATTCATTCAAGAGCATTCCAAAGGCAATGACAAGAGCTGCCCGTGTGTCTATCAGGTCCACGGGGATTGGCTGCATGCATCGACATGTGGGTTTGTATTGCCTCAACTGCAGGGGTGGGGCAGAGCCTGCAGTTGCGGTTCGAACGCAGGGCCGCCGCGTGAGGGATGTGTCATGGCCACAATGGTTGCAAGATGTTGTAAGTGTCCTCTGCCTGTTACCACAATGGTTGTTTCCTTTGCCTGTTTGGGTGTCGAATGGAGATCCCTAAGTGGTGGGCTGGGTAGTCCAGTGGCCCAGACTGGATGATCCTGGTATGCATGCTAAATAATGTAGGGTGTAGCTCATTCATTATCAGCAACAGTCGGCCCTTTACTAAGCATCATCCACTGTTACTGGTAATGGGCTAAAGTACCCAACATATTCATGTGCTTTCAGGATCTTTCAGGAACCTTTTTCCTCAATGTATTCCAGGTCGAATGGCCACCCAGCCGAATGGCTTCAGCCCCAACGGCCGGCTGTCCCCGGCCGACGGCCGGAGGAGTCCGATGAAAGGATGGATTCCACCGTGCTGGCAGATATGGTGGTGGCTGAGAGGGTCAGCTCTGCTGTCTCTTGACGTGTTGTTGGTCTCCCCCCGGTGAGAGGGAGGGGCTCAGTGGCAAGCGCAAGCAAGCGCAAGCACACACTCCCCCTAAGGATTAGTGGTT